GTGGGATTGCTGGATCATATGGTACTTCTATTTCTAGCTTTTTAAGGAAGCGTCAAATCGATTTCTAAAGTGGTTGTACCATTTTAAATTCCTACCAGCAGTGTATAGATGTTCCAGTCTCTTCACAACCTCTCCAACATTTATTATTTTGTGTTTTTTGGATTAATGCTATTCTTGTTGGGGTGAGATGGTATCTCATTGTAGTTTTGATTTTCATTTCTCTAATGGCTAATGACTGTGAGCATTTCCTCATGTATCTGTTAGCCACCTGAATGTCTTTTTTGGTGAAGTGCCTGTTCATATCCTTTGCCCATTTTTTAACTGGGTTATTTGTTTTTCTGTTGCTGAAGTTTTGCAGTATTTTGTAGATTTTAGAGATTAGACCCTGATCAGGTACGTTGTAGCCTAAATTTTTTTCCCAGTCTGTAGGTTGTCTTTTTACTCTTTTGGTGAAGTCTTTTGATGAGCATAAGTGTTTGATTTTTAGGAGGTCCCAGTTATCTAGTTTCTCTTCTGGTGTTTGTGCATTGTTACTTATGGTTTGTATTCTGTTTCTGCCATATATTAGGGCTCCTAGCATTGCCCCAATTTTTTCTTCCATGATCTTTATCGTTTTCAATTTTATATTTAGGTGTTTGTTTCATTTTGAGTTAGTTTTTGTCCATGGTGTGAGGTTTGGGTCTTGTTTCATTTTTTTTGCAGATGGATATCCAGTTATGCCAGCACCATTTGTTAAAGAGATTATCTCTTCCCCAAGTAATGGACTTTTGGCCTTTGTCCAATATCAGCTGCTCATAGGTGGATGAATTTATGTCAGGATTCTCAATTCTGTTCCACTGGTCTATGTATCTGTTGTTGTACCAGTACCAGGCTGTTCTGACTACCGTGTTGGTATAATAGGTTCTAAAATCAGGTAGTGTGAGGTCTCACACTTTGTTCTTCTTCTTAAGTAATGCTTTACTTATCCGGGGCCCCTTTCCTTTCCATATGAAGTAGGTGATTTGTTTTTCCATCTTATTAAAAAATGCCATTGGAATTTGGATTGGGATTGCATTGTACCTGTAGATCGCTTTGGGTAGAACTGCCATTTTCATAATGTTGAGTCTTCCTATCCATGAGCAAGTATGTTTTTCCACTAATGTAGGTCTCTTTTGGTTTCTTGCAGTAGTGTCTTGTAGTTTTCTTTGTATAGGTCTTTTTTGTGTCTGGTTAGATTTAATCCTAAGTATTTTATCTTCTTGGGGGCTATTGTAAATGGTATTGATTTGGTGATTTCCTCTTGGAAGTTCTCTTTGTTGGTGTAGAGGAATCAAACTGATTTTTGTATGTTTATCTTGTATCCTGATACTTTGCTGAAATCTATTAGTTCCAGTAGTTTTCTTGTGGATTCTTTGGGGTTTTCTAGATACACACACAGATTTATTACAAGGATGTGCACTGCGGTCTTACTTGATAGAACCAAAACAACAACTTCAACAACAAAAAGAGCCCTAAGAAGGAAAAAAAATCTAACAATAGGCAAATGGTTAAGTAATTTATGGTACATCCATACTTTAGAGTTTCCTTATGCAATTAATAATAGCAATTTTGAAGACAGTTTACTACCACATCTGTCCTCCAACTCCCAATACATTCTCAGAAGAAAATAGACAAAAGAGACAACAAAACGGGGGGGAAAAAAAAAGGTAGCATGTAATTAGCAGTTCTATCGTGGACAGAAATTCTTCTTGACTTTTTTGGTATTTTCTAAATGTTTCAGAATAATCATATTGTCATCTCTATGATCAGAAAATTATTAAAAATTTTAAACTAACACAGCTGTAACTGTATATTCAACTTTTAACCTTGTCTATATATTTACTATCTTGGTTCTTAGATTTTACTCCTCTTGTCTGCCTTTTTCAATCAGACTAACAAATATCCCCCCGCTTCTTGTAATCTCCCTACTTCTTTGTACACTCCCTTTTCAGAAGACTGGTATTTGCAATTGTTTGAACCTCCCTTCTCCAGGGTGTAATTTATCATTAGTCAGATATGAAAATCTTTTCAACTGATGACATTCTGTAGATCCACAGATTTTATAAAAATCATTTTGAGAACACCAGTACAGCCAGCAACCAGGGCCAATGCTATGTTTCAGTTTCTCTGAGTTTGTGCAAGTATACATGTTATGAAATCCCACATTAAGCTGTATATTCAAGATTACACTGGATATAATTTTCCCTATTTTTTTTTTTCACTCTTTTAATTCAATCATTTAAATCTATTAGTCTGGAAGAATTTTTTATTTGGTTTCTTCTTCCAAGTTGTTCAGTGATTCTGTTAAAAAAATTTCTTCTTTTAATGTTCATTTCTAACAGCTGCAAAATACAATTATTTACCATTTATTTTTTTTCCCCATTGTTTTCTGGAACCATAAAAAAGATTATTTGTCCTTGGAAAGATTTCCAGTGTTTTCTGTATAATTATTTAAGATTATTGTGTAGTTCTAGGAATTATTTCTTTTTATTTTGCTCTATTCTTTTTTTTATCTAAAAGTCTGCTTTTTTTTTTTTAGTTTCTAATTATTTCATATAATTTCCTATTTACTCATATGTTAGTATATTTATTTCTTCTAACAGTTTTTTGGTCACATGGTGTTATGGATTAAATTGCGTCCCCCAAAAATGTATGTCAATTTGGCTAGGCCATAATTCCCTGTATTGTGTGCTTGTCCACCATTTTGTGATCTAATGTGATTATCCTATGTGTTGTAAATCCTACCTCTATGATGTTAAGGAGGCAGGATTAGAGGCAGCTATGTTAATGATGCAGGATTCAATCTACAGGATTAGGTTTTATCTTGAGTCAATCTTTTTTGAGATATAAAAGAGAAAAGGAGCAGAGAGGAGAGGAACCTCATGCTACCAACGAAGAAGCGCCAGGAGCAGAGCGTGTCCTTTGCACCCTGGGTCCTTGCACTGAGAAGCTCCTAAACCAGGGGAATACTGATGACAAGACCTTCCTCCAGAGCCAGCAGAGAGAGAAAGCCTTCCTCTGGAGCTGGTGCCCTGAATTAGTAGCCTAGTAGCCTCCTAAACTGTGAGAAAATAAACTTCTATTTTTTAAAGCCATCCATTTGTGGTACTTCTGTTATTGCAGCACTAGAAAACTAAGACACATGGCTTCCCTGTTCAGTTCTTGAAAACATTTTATCAGCAGTAGCTGGGGCCTCTCTCTCTTTTCTTTTTGAAAGTTTTATTGGGTTTAGGTGAAAGTTTACATATTAAATTAGCTTCCTATTCAATAATTCATATACAAATTGTTCCGTGACATTGTTTGCAATCCCCACATGTATTAGCACTCTCCTCATTTCCACCCTGGGTTCCCCATTTCCATTTGTCCAGTTTCCCTGCCCCTTCCTGCCTTCTCATCTTTGCTTTTGGACAAACATTGCCCTTTTGGTCTTGTTTAATTGATTGTTCTACGGAGCACATTCTTCATGGGTGTTATTGTTTATTTTACAGGCCTATTATGTGGCTGAAAGGTGATCTCCAGGAGTGGCTTCAGTTCCACATTAGAAGGGTGTCTTAGGGCTATCGTCTCAGTGGTTCCTCCAGTTTCTTCTATCAGAGCAGTAAGTCTGGTCTTTTTTATGAATTTGAATTTTGTTCTACATTTTTCTCCTACTCTAACCAGGACCTTCTATCGTGTTCCTGGTCAGAGCGGTAGGTAGTAGTAGTCGGGCACCATCTAGTTCTTCTGGTCTCAGTCTAGTATAGGCGATGATTCATGTGGATCATTAGTTCTTTGGACTAATTGCTTCCTTGAGTTTTTGGTTTTCTTCACTCTCCTTTGCTCCAGATGGGAAGAGACCAGTAGTTGTATCTTAGATGGCCACTCTAAAAGCTTTTTGTTTGTTTTAGCTTTGCTATCAGCTGTTTTCTACTTTTTTTCGTCAGTCTACTAAGTTTAATTGGGCTATTTTTCTTCTTTTTAAGATATTATAATAGTATATACTTTTGGGGAAAACATAATTTTCATTAGACTCTCTCTCTTTTTCCCACTAGTTTTTTTTTTTTTTTTTTTTTTAAATGCTATAGGACATGATCGACATGACAGACTAAGATTAATGCCATCTAGCTACCTGGCCCTTCCTTTAAAAATACTGAGACTTTTGATTATATGCCTCAACCCTTTAACAACTTCTCACTGCTTTAAAACAAAATCCAAATGTTTTATCATCCATCGTGTATAAAGCCCCGAAGATCTGGCTCTTGCTTCTTCTTCCTCTTGCCACTTTTCCCCTCCTTCCCCATGCATCAGCTGCACTGGCCTTCCCTCAGTTTCTGAACTCATGCCGCCCTTTCCTGCCAGAGAGTCTTTGTGCATGTTGTCCTTGCTGTTTGTCACAGAGGATTCCTTCTCATACTTTGGTTCTCAATTTAAATGTCACTTCTTCAGAGATAAGATCTCTGAACATCTTAAATTTATTTTTTTACGTTTCTATTTATTTTTATGCTTATTCCTTCATAGTACTTATTCCAATTTATAATTATTTGTTTGTTTATTTGTTCATTATCCATTTTTCCCACCAGACTGTAATGCTTGTTCACCACTGTATCTCCCAGAACTCATATAGCATTTGGCACTTAGTACAAGCCAAATAAATATATGAATGAATGTCAGGACTGAATGACTGATCAAATGAACCAAAAAAGAAGCACCATACTGACCAATCCATCAGCTGTACCACCTGTTATTCCTACTTGTGCAGTGCCCAGCTCAGCACGATGCCCTGGAGGGTGCTAAATATTGCCTATTAGATGAGGTACATTCTTCTAGTGGTGAACATGTGCTCTCATTGCACTTGTAATGTCACAGGCCCTAGAGGTTAGGAAAGCAGGTCTTCTAACCTAACCGACCATATGGCACATCACCAATACCAGCTCTGCAAAGCTGAATTGGAAGCAGGACACAATTCTTTTGGCCATATCCTCATTTGAGGTGTGTGAGTTTACCTTTCTTCTGTCCTCTCATGGACCTCATCCACAATGATATGAGTAATCCCTTGCAGAGCTGTGTCTCCTTCTAGCCTTCTCAGCAGCACTCCTGTAGTGCAGTATAACAGTCTGGTGGCTGAGGACTTACATATAAAGGTAAAACAAAGCATTCATGACATTTTTGGAAAAAGAAACATATTACTGGCAAGCTATTTTGAATGGACAGAATTAAAGAATATTCAAAACACCAGCAGTTACATTTAATATGAAACCATACTAAATGCATAGATTCTTGCTGGCTATAACAATAAAAGCTTTTCTATTTCATGCCACAATTTTAAGCTTCAGACTCTCATAAAACGCATTAAAAATTATTATAAAATATATAAATAATACTGAGTGATGAGATCAATTCTGAATTTGTTTGCTCCTTATTTAGCTAAATGGATTACGTAACCATGTTCTAAGAAGAGCAAGATAGCATCTACTAGCCCACTCTGCCAATAAAAAAATAAAAGGTCTTTATAGAGGAAATTAAGCACAACCAAATAAGAGCTCTTATACCAAAATATTTCTAAAAAGACTTCAGGCCTACTAAAGGTAGCCATTGATTTAAACTGACCTGAAAGCACATGTCCTAAGTTTTTCATGAAATCGCCAGACTCCAGGAACTCTTTATACTTGAAAATTATAAATTTCAGTTACCAGAAAATAAGCAGTGCATACAAACCTTGACGCTTTCTAACCGGATCTGGTATCCCACGGTCAGACCCACCCTCTCTGCTCTTTCTTTAGCAACACGCTCAGCGACAGAGATTGCAGAGATTCGTCGGGGTTGGGTACAGATGATGTTAGCCACTTTCTCAGGTGGCCCATTCAGAGAATCATCCAGAATAAACTGTGGAATCTGTGTAGTTTTTCCACATCTGTATGTCGAAACAAAAATATCCTAAAATGAGTTTTTAAGTGCTAAAGAAGTGATCACATGTAATGAGAAAGTTATAATAAAAGTTAAAGTTGTTCAGCTTCACCTGTCTTCTAAAACTACCACACTCCTTACCATCAAGTTGATTCCGACTCATAGCAACCCTATAGGATAAGTGGAACCGCCCCATAGGGTTTCCAAGGCTGTAATCTTTTTGGAAGCAGACTGCCACATCTTTCTCCCACAGAGTAGCTGGTGGGTTTGAACATGACCTTTCAGTTAGCAGCTGAGGGCTTAACCACTGTGCTACCGGCATTCCTCCTTCTAAAACTACTTAACACTAATTACCTAGAATTGATAAATCTTAGGAATTTGCACTCAGATTAACAGGACAATCACATAATAGTTTAATATCACTTGTACAATTGGAACTATTGAACAGACATCAGACTAAGGTCTGTAAATGTCTCTAAGGATGTAAACTTCTCTACATATGAATCCTAAAGAAATAAGAATATTAGCTCATGATTATTAAAATACTTTTTATGTTTCCCTTTGATGTATATTGATTTGATATAAATGTACTGAAGTTAAAAAGATAAGACACTGGGAGAAACAAGGCTACTACTATATCAGTGAGTCTGGGTACAAACGTAATTATTAAACTGAAAACCGCTGGAAAAAAAACTAAATTAAGCCTGCAACTTGTCCTTGCTAAATAGGCTTGCATAACATGTGGGGAGTGTGAAATAGGTAAAATAATGCAGCTTAAGTTGTTCCTAAAAGAACAGATAAAAGCTCTAAGTAAATAAAAATAATTCCGAAAACTGCAAACTTTTCAAGCGAAATATTCTGAAACTATGCTTTTAAATTTAAAAGTGGGCCTTGTTAATAGTCTTTAGCTGGGTCCCTTGCCTTAAAGGCAGAACTATACAAGATTGAAGGAGCCCTGGTGGCATAACAATTAAGCACTCGGCTGCTAATCAAAACGCTGGCAGTTTGAATTCACCCAGTGGCTCCTCAGGAGAAAAGACCTGGCGATCTGCTTCCATAAAGACTACAGATATTCTATTCTGTCACACTGGGTCACTATGAGTCGAAAATGACTTGATGACACCTAACAACAACAACATATAAAGTCTGTACGTTCTTAGATGGATTTCTGAGTTTTCTTTCTTTTTTTATAATGTGGCTCTGTTAGCTACAGAAGCTACAATATTAGCATCTGTGTAAGTATTTAATATTTGACAGGAAAAAAGCTCAAATAACACCAGTAACTGTTTTTTTAAAAGTAGAAGTGGTTATGGTAACCAGGGCACATATATTTATAATAAAAGCTGTATTATGAATAAATTGTATTCTTACCCAGTCATACCACTTATGACAAGCACTTGGTGCTTGCTCAACAATTTAAGAATGGTTTCTCTTTCTTCCCAAGCAGGGAGTGACTGTCTTTCTTGCAGAATTGACTGGAACTGTCTGGAAGCCTAATAAAATCAAAGATATGGCATCAGTCAGGTTGCTTTCAGTACTTTTCAGAAAAGCTCTGAATCTGGAGTCCCACCATCAGACCCCCCATTTCTGCTCTTTCTTTAAAAACTTGTTCAGAAAGAGACTGCAGAGATTTGTCGGGCCTGGGTGCAGATGACCTTAGTCAGAAGTCGGCTTGGACAATCAGCCAGAATAAGCTGTGGATTCTGTGTGGTCTTCCTACATCTGAATAAACGGAAAGATCTTATAAGGGAAATAACCCCTTGCTTAGCACCCATCCAGCTCTTCCTAGCAAGAGTTTCTGCACCAGCACTGTCCAACAGAGCTTTCTGTGTTTATGAAATGTTCTCTATCTATGCTGTCCAATACAGCAACCTCTAACCACATTTGGCTACTAAGCACTTAAAATGTGGCTAATGCAACTGAAGAACTAGATTTTTAATTTTGTTTAATTTGAATTACTTTAAATAGCCACATGTGGCTAAGGGCTACCATACTGGACAGCATAGCTCTAAGCATTATCAGATTGCTTTCCAAACCAAAAATAGTAAGGGTGTTCCCTAAAAGGTTCTTTTCAGCCAATCACCATATCTACCTCATTCAGTCTGATATAAACGTTATAAACACTGCTTATACATTAAAACTATGGATGTATTTTTGGATAATACGAGAAATTTATACTAACACGTCATTTGCTGCAAATAATTTTAACATATAAACTGATTACCTCTAAGCACAATGATCAAATGTAATACATAATTTTTTGTTTCTACCATACTTAATGGTGCGATTTTATATACTTTTTGATGTTCAGTGGGTATTGTACTATAGATGTGATAGTGTTACACTGTGTCAAATTTCAGAATCATAGAACTTCAGAACTGGAAAGTTAGACAGCATCTAATCTAATCCCCAAAGTGATTAAGCAACTGTCTCTGTTCTATATCCTACTGTGCCCTAACAGTTTACTTATGAGGTCTTTTAAAATGATCTTCATGTGAGTGGTGTAAAAATAACATGCGCTTTGGGAAGAGAGAGAAATTGACTTGGACCCCTATGTTGCTACCTACTAGTTATGCAACCCTGGACAAGTTATTTATCCTGAGTCTGTGAAATGGGGTAAGAGCCCCTCCTCCTTCTCCTTTTACAGATGGATTTTTCTAACATAAATGACAGTATTAATTTCCCTTCCACATAGCAGATTGTCTATCATAGTACCAAAGCCACACGATTCTGAGAATATCTGAATTGTGTGTGTATATGCATGTTTGGTAGTCACCAGCCATTCGATTTCCTAAAAACGTCTAGAACATGCACCCTAGTTAGTGTGGCATGCAGAAACTTTGCCCCCTCAGGGTGAAAGAGAACCAAAAGTATACTGGGGAGAGTAGTCAAAGTTTCCTAATTCCTAATCCCTTCATCCATACATTAGGGAGGCAATGCTAGCCATTCTCTCAGCACACCCTACCTGTTTTATTCGGAACTGCTTGCAGATTTTAGCATTTTCAGCATGTACTGATTTTGCCTGCCAGTCATATCTTTTGGAAATCTTTTTCTTAAGGTTCACATAGCTTTCATTCTCCACTATAACTGGTGCAGGGCCTTCATCCTCATCTGCCTCCTCCTCAGGCTCTGATTCTTTTTCAACTTGAAGGGGATAAAAGGAAACATTTCGATATGCAGCCCTTTCTTTAGCAAAGGGGGAAGTCACTATCTAACAAAGTAACAACAACAACAAAATCATAAAATGGAGAAAAAGTTAAAGCTTGATTAAAGCAGGTTCATTCATTTCAATACAACTACTTCAACTGCTAAAGAACTTAAAATGCATCTTCAAATAAACTTTACTCCAGTACAAGTGGTTATCATTAAACCATAAATTAAAAACAAAGTGGTAAAAATGACATGCTTTGTTGTTAATTCAGTAGTCTTTGCACTCAAGATTAACAGTCAAAGTTTCAACTATCTGCAAGTGTCCCTGAACTCTGTGACACAAAACAACTCAAATGTTCATCAACTGACGAGTGGATAACCACAACGGTATATCTGTAGGATGGAAGAGTATTTAGCAATAAAAGGAATGAAGTACTGACACATGCTAAAAAAAGGATAAACCCGGAAAACATTTTGTTGAGCGAAAGAAGCCAGACACAAAAAGCCACACATTGTATGACTGCGTTTCTAGGAAATGTCCAGAACGGGCAAATCCATAGGGTCGGAAAGTAGATTAGTAGTTGCCAGGGGTTGGAGGAAGAGGAATATGGGGAATGAGTGCAAATGGGTACAGACTTTCTTTTTGGGGAGATGGAAATGTTAGTGGTGATAGTTGCACAAGTCTGTGAATATACTAAAAACCACTAAATTATACACTTTAAAAGGGTGAATTTTATTGTATGTGAATTATCTCAATAAAGCTGTTACTTAAAAAAATGCCCATGACACATAATTTGTCATGTCCCAAAGGACACGTTTAATCCCATGTCCTAGAACATAGCATCTGGGAGTAAGTCAGGTGGCTACAGAGTGAACCCAGCCAACTGTCCAGGATCCCTATCTCAGTGCAGCTTTGCTCTTCTCTACTTACTGATGTTTACCCAGGAACTCTTGTGAAATAATAAAAACTTTTGTTTCTCTGGAAGAAAGGCGGCAAACAAATAAGAGAGAATTCTTCGACAAAAATTGAAAAGATGGTTACTTGTGGCACCAGAATTTGTGCAGCAGATCTGAATCTGGGCAAAGCCAGAAGCCTGCACGAACATTTCTTTATTTGAGGATTTAGGGCTTTATAAAGATAGCCCTACTCTCATGAATTTCAAGGATCCACTGTACTAAAAGCAGGAGGGTACAGACGGTGGTGTAGAAAGAGAAGCATTTCTAAAAACTCATTTGTAGTAATTCCATATATAGTACCAGAAGTAAACATATGAAACCAAATGAATTAAATGAAAGACTTTCTGGGAAGGTATTTCAAAGTCCCTCATACCCTGAGATGCTATATTGCTAAAATAAACCTTTATACAGCACTACAAACTTTCAATTCATGGAGCCCAATCACAGCGACACAAAGAGTCTTCACCATGGAACTGAGGAGAATGACTTGGCCAAGATCACTGGGAGACACTAGACCAGCCCTCAGAAACTCTGACTCCTAAATTCATTATTCTGATTGCCCTCCCCATGATCAGTGTGTTACATACCTTCTGCAATCTGATTTGAAATGAAAGACTTATTTGGAATCACTGGTTTACAACATGTAAGATTATTCATCCTGGTCCCAGAAGGTGCTGGTAAAAAGTTCTTGGGAGGAACACTGTACTTGTGATGGGTATTTGTTAGTAACTTGACTATTTCAGATTCTTCCTCTAAAAGAGTTATCAAAGAATATACAACAGGTTCCGAAGTTTCTGCAGATGTCAAGGCCTTGCCATAAAGGAACTCAGAAATATGCAAACGACAAGCCAGAGGTAGATTCTTATTGGTGGAATAAAACGCCACAAGAGGAGCTTGGTAGGGGTATTTGTGGTCTTTAGAAAATCGAATTTCTAGTTCATATAAAAAAGATGCATCTTCATATAGATGAGAATCATCTACAATACTTCTTTCTATTCTTCCAACAATCTGATTTGGGGGTACCTCATGCTTGAATTTGCATTTTGATCCAAATTTACAATTTCCTTTGAGGTAAAATTTACAGGTTTCAAGTGAAGTCTCCTGCATGTTTTTGGTACTTCCCCTTTGCTTGGATTTGCAGAATTTACTTGCCAAATACTCCAATTCTAATCCAATGGTCCAGACTCTGTTCTGAATTCTTTCTACAAATTTTTCTCCACAGATTGACTTAAGAGCAAATGCCTCTTCCTGTCGCTGTTCCACACACTCATCCAAGCTAATATGGGCAACTGCCTCAGAGGTCTTCATCCTTTCTCCAAATGTTTCTGAAAAACATTGGGTGAGTAGATATTCTAGTGAAGCCCCAACATCTCCACCACAAATCGTCAGAGCTGCCTGACAGCGTTCAGTGTTGAAACCATACCTGTCAAGGGCAAAATACAACAAAAACGACTGGGTAATATCAAATCACTGGAGTAGAATTCATTTAATACATTTACATGAAACTATGACTATATATGGGCAGGGCATGTGTATTTTGAAAAGCACCCCTGATAATATGATGCTTCCTTAAATCCACCCCCTATCTGCAATTTAGAATAATTGGCCTAAAGAGATAGACTATTAGGCCTCTCAGTCATTGCTAGAACCCACACAATAGGAAAGTACCGAAGGAAGGGTAGTTGGATTTATAAGATGATTTTTGTTTCCTTGAAGTCTCTCCAAACTCCCATAAATGCTAAAAGCAATCACCTGGAAAGCTTTTGCACTGCAAATGGTGAGAATGTAAATTCTGGAATATGTGGTTCCACCAGGGCTGGGCCAGTAAATTCCAATGGATTAGGATCAGGAACAAGGGAAGCTTCTCGTCCAGCTGACCAGTACTGCTCATCATCACAATAATCAGGCTCATCATCTTCCTCTTCCCCAGAAATACCTCTCCTAGCAAAGGTAACATTTTTATATATTAGGTCTAATTTCTACTTACTTCAAAGAAATATTTAGCAAGGGTCTAAGAATGTAATTCAAGAAGCCAAAGGACATAAAATCCTGACTACTCTTCAGTCACTGTTTTAATCCTTCATTAACTTGTAATTCACCTCTTGGCAACTGATACTTATCAAGCATTTATTACATGTCAGGTACTGTGTAAGTGCTTTATATCTACAATCTCTTTTAAACTTCCCAATAACTCCAAGAGACACTAGTAGGATGCCCTTTTTCTGATGAACCACTAAAACTCTGAGAGGATTAGTAACTGACTAAGGTTATACAGGTGTCCCTGGTGGTGCAAACAGTTGCACTCAGCTGCTAACCAAAAAGTTGGAGGTTCGAGTCCACCCAGAGGTGCCTCAGAAGAAAAGACCTGGCAATCTGCTTCTGCAATTATAGCAAATAAAACTGTATAGAGCAGTTCTACTCTGTAACACATGGGGTCACCACAAGTTGGAATCGAGTTGACAGCAACTGTTTTTTTTTTTTTTTTTTTTAAATTAAAGTTACACGGCAAGGAGCAACTAGAGATTTTAATCAAGGCAGTCTGAACCCAGAGCCTGTGTCCCTAACCACAGAAGCTCTGGCTCTCTCTCTCTCTTCTTATTCTTAAAAACTCTGCTTTTTTATTTTGCTGCGTAAGCCCCTTTTCCTAAATCTGAGAGAGATAGGAGATTTGTAGATAGAATGGAAATTGAGCTGATCACAACTGACCACTCATCAATTCCAGTAAATGGAAAGAAAGAATGAACTTCTCCAACTGAAATCACAAGGCAAAATAGCCAAAATGCAATGGAGGGGGAGGAAGAAGAAAAGTGACTAAGACTTTAGAGTAAAAGTGTTTCTCTGAGGCAGATGGCCATGAGAAGTGTAATTTTAAGACTTCTTCTGATCAACTCAGTATTTGCTCTTAGAAAAATATTTTACTTGTTCACTACTGGAAGATTATTAATAAAGCAACTACTGAATCCATAGTAGTACTGTCCTAGGAAAAAATTAAGATGTGCACTGATTAAGGGTAGCATTGCACAGTTGATTATTGTAATTGCTGTCAATAAGTTGTACACCTGTAAAAAGCTGACTTGGCAAAAGTGTGAGAGACATATTTACAACAATGACCAAAAAAAAAAAGAGTAGCTGCTGAGGCTGCTTATGTACGACCAAAATCCTCGTGGGATTTGGTTTCTTGTTTGGAGGTTTAGCGTCATGGTTTCATGGGACATCCCCATTAATCGGCCTAACAACATGTTCAGTGCTTCTGTTCTACGTCCTAGTTCATTGTGTAGTGCCTGGGTGTTAAAAGCTTGCAAGTGGCCATCCAAGGCACAGTAATTAGTCTCTATTTGCCTAGAGCAACAGAGGAGGAAAGTTAGGAATAGCAGGAGGATATGGAATGTGTGGCTAACTGTCTCCATGAACAACTGCCTCCTTTGCTATGAGACCAGAAGAACTGGATGGTGCCTGGTCACCATTACTGAACATTTTGATCAAAGATTTGACAGAAGAATCCTGATCAAAAGGGGGAAAATGCAGAACAGAATTTCAAATTCTCATGGACTCCAGACTTCCTGGAGCCATGAAGGCTGGATGAACCCCTGAAGTTATTGCCCTGAGATAATCTTTAAACCTTAAACCAAAAACATCCCCTGAAGTCTTCTTAAAACCAAACAACAGTTTAGCTTAACTAGTAAAAAATGTCTACCTTGAGCATTATGCTCTTTTAAGAACTATCTACATGAGATCAAACTGACAACAGCAACCTGAAAGATTAGATAGGAACCTTAGGGGGCAGTGAATTTAGGTTAAAGGGGAAGGAACAACTCAGAAAAAGAAGGTGAGAATGGTTGCACAACTTGAAGAATGTAATCAATGTCACTAAATGGTACATGTAGAAACTGTTGAATTGGTGTATGTTTTACTGTGTATATTCTCAACAAAATAAATAAAATTTTAAAAAAAGGAAAAACTGAAAAAAAAAATTAAGATGAAAAGGTGATCTGTACCACTGCTCACGGATACTGCAAAATAAATTTACTCTAAAACTGTTACTGCATAATTATTCTTGTATTTCTCTTGGCTCATTTTCAACTAACTATAAGCCTACAACAGGATCAGTATTCATCCAGGGTTCCAAAGATATACAGGATCTTCACACTACCAATACAACTTCCTTAACATAGTAATTTACTCAAATAATTGCTCAAATAAAATAATTTACTCAGATCCAGCATCCGCATCCTGTTCCTGCAGGTCTCGGAGAAGAGCTTTCACTTTCTCTTGATTCTCAGAAGTCATATGTAGAGTCTGAAGGGGCACTTTGGCTTCAGGCCTCCGTTTGGGGCGTGACTCTCCTTTGCTTACGCTACCGCTGCTAGGTCTACAAAGGACATGACAATAAGATTATACATTTACCTGCAATCTGACATTGACACTCTCCTCAGAGTCCCCAGATACACACAACATGAACTGGATTGTCAAATACCTCACAAAAGATAATGAGTGTGGAGAGAGTCTCCAGTTTTCCACAGCATTCATCAGACTTTATTAAAAGCAAACAATAGTTTAGCTTAACTAGTAAAAAATGTCTACCTTAAGCATTATGCTCTTTTAAGAACTATCTACATGAGATCAAATTGGAACTAGTGGAGAAAACCTGATCCAATTCTCAATAATTTCATCTGGCTTCATTAACTCCAGAATCCTCTGGAAAACACAAGGCTAATGATGACTCCTTCTGTGCTGTAAGGGCTTTGAAAAGAAATATGCCACATATGACAGTACTTATTTCATTCTACTCTAGGTATGCAATCTGAAAACCATCAACAGAGTCTCATCTTACTTGTGAATATCAGACCCTATTTTTTAAATACTTACCCATATTATCAGTACTTCCTAACTACAAATTAAAATAATAAAAAAGTAGAGAAAAAAGAAAAAAAGCCCACCCCAAATCATACCATTCTTTTTCATATACATATTCATTTTTTATAAAATTGCACAGCACGTGTAATCTTTTATAAATTGCTTTATTCCCTTATTAAAATAATGGTGGTATTCCCTAAGATTAAATATTCTTTCATAACATAATTTTAAATGGTTACATAGAGATATAGATGTATCATTCTTTATTTCACCAATCTTTCATTTTTGGAATTTAGATTATTTTAGGGACTCTTTTAAATACTTAAAACAATAATAAGTCCTAAAGTTTAATTTTATTTACTGATTTTCTTTTCCTTTGGCCTGGTTTATTATAAATTTGCACAAATATAGTACAACAGAAGAAAATTTCTCTATATTTAAAATCCAACACATTATTGGAAATCTGAAAAGACCCACACATTAATCTTTGCAAAACTGTAGTAAAGGAGAAAACAGAAATGATTGTGACTTTTAACTACTTAGTTGCAACTTCTGAAGAGAAGTGATGTCATCTAAAATCCATCATTTCCTATAACTTTTTGTTTTGAAAAAATTTAAATCTAAAAATATTTAGAATAATTGTACAATAAACCCTGTTTATCTAGATTCACCAACTGTTAACATTTTGCCATATGCACAAACACACAAATATATATATGCCTCTCTTCACCGTCACTGTCTCTATACACACATACGTATGACAATACACAAAGATACACACACACCCCCACTGTCTCTATATATGTATATATACATATTGCTGGACCATTTGAATGTAAGTTGCAAATAGCATGTTTCATCCTTAAATATTTCAGCGTGTATTTCCAAAGAGCTGAGATATACTCTTATGTAACTATAATACGATTACCACTCTCGAGAAATTTTATATCGATACGGTAATATTATCTAATGTATAGTCTATATTCAAATTTCCCAACTGACTCAATAATGTCAATTATTTTGACACTATAAATTTTTTTATCTGGTATATAATAAAAAATGACATTTAGTTATCATGCTTTTTAAAACTCTTAATTTTTGAAGAGCTCAGGCCAACTGTCTTGTAGATATTCTCATAATCTGGATTTGACTCATCATTTCCTCATGATTAGTAAAAAGAGGGAGGAAGGGAGGGAAAGAGAGAGAGAAAGAGAACTTCCATATGCTCCTATCTCATCCACCATTTATTTGTATACCCAGGTACTCTGCATTCCTTCCTGTTACTATGGATGAATCATACTTGATCCTAACATCAATCCCTGTATTCTTACAATGGATCCTAATCCCTTTCATCTCCTCAAAGAAAACACTCCAGCAGTTATCCCCCTCTCTGCACCATCAGTTCTTCACTCTCTTTTGGATAATTCCCATTAAGTGTATACACATGTCTACTATGAGCTGACTATATGAAGAATGCGGCATCAGGATTGGAGGAAGACTCATTAACAACCTGCGTTATGCAGATGACACAACCTTGCTTGCTGAAAGTAAAGAGGACTTGAAGCAGTTACTGATGAAGATCAAAGACTATAGCCTTCAGAATGGATTACACCTCAACATAAGGAAAACAAAACCCTCACAACTGGACCAATAAGCAACATCATGATAAACGGAGAAAAGACTGAAGTTGTCAAGGATTTCATTTTGCTTGGATCCACAATCAACACCCATGGAAAGAGCAGTCAAGAAATCATATGATGTGTTGCACTAGGAAAATCTGCTGCAAAAGACCTCTTTAAAGTGTTAAAAAGCAAAGATGTCACTTTGAGGACTAAGGTGCACCTGAACCAAGCCATGGTATTTTCAATTGCCTCATATGCATGTGAAAGCTGGACAATGAATAAGGAAGACCGAAGAAGAATGCATGCCTTTGAATTACAGCGTTGGCCAAGGATACTGAATATACCATGGACTGCTAGAAGAACAAACAAATCTGTTTTAGAAGTACAGCCAGAGTGCTCCTTAAAAGAAAGGAAGGCGAGAGTTCGTCTAACGTACTTTGGATATGTTATCAGGAGGCACCAGTCCCTGGAAAAGGACATCATGCTCAGTAAAATAGAGGGTCGGTGAAAGACAGGAAGACCCTCCACGAGATGGGTGCAACACAATGGCTGCAACAATGGGCTCAAACATAGCAATGATTGTGAGGATGGTGCAGGACCGGGCAGTGTTTTGTTCTGCTGTATGTAGGGTTGCTATGAGTAGGAACCGACTTGACACCACCCAAAAACAATATTAAAAAAACAAACCAAACAAGTCCTTGCTTGACTGCACATTTTCCCCTCTATCCATTCCTCTCCCCCACTCCTTTTATAGCAAAATTCCTTTAAAAGAATTATCTAAATCACTGTCTCTACTTCCTTTCCTCTTGTCTCTGAAATGCACTCCAATCAGGGTTTCCTCCCCACCAAGTATACCAGTACAATTCTTGTCAAGGTTACCCATGATGCCCACATTGCCAAATTCAGTGGGTTATTCTCAGTGCTCAATTTTTTTGATCTATCAGAAGCATTCTTAAAAACTGATCATTCTCTCTCCTTTGAAACACCTTTATCTTTTGGCTTCTAGAAATCACAGTCTTAGTTTTCCTTCTACTTAACTGGCAATTCCTCCTCAATCTCCTTTGTCTGATTCTCCTAATCTCCCTTACCTCTAAAGCTTGGAGTGCCCCAGTGCTCAAACTTCAGAACTCTTTTCTAACTATATTCACTCCCTAGGAGGATCTTATCCAGTCCCATGTCTTTAAATAGCATTTATTCATTAAGGATTCACACATTTACTTGTCTAGCCTAGACCTTTTCCTGAAATCCAGACTCATACATCAAACTGTTTATTTGACATCTCCACTAGGAGAGCCTCCTACCTAGTATCCTTGATTCCAATGCACCTTCCCATACATTCTCCACACAGCACACATGCATCCTGCTGTGGGGCTACAAACACTCAGAGAAGGGGTACTATTTTCTACTTCACACAAAGGCATATATTAGATACAGCAATCCTGGCCAGAATGATTGATAATATCATGCACCCCTGCCTCAAACTCTTCAATGGCTTCCCATCTTGTTCAAAGCAAAAGCTCAAGTCCTTATAACGGCCTATAATGTCCTACAGTCTAGCCTCTTTGATCTAACCTCCTACCACTCTCCTCCTTGCTCATCCACTCTAACCACATGGCTTCTGTGCTACTCCCTAAACCTTCTAAGCACATTCCTGCCTCAGGGACTTTGCACTTGCTTTTCCCTCTGCCTTGAAAGTTTTTTCTCTCAGATAGCTTCATGGGTCACTACTTCACTTCCTTCTTGTATCTGCTCAAATGACACCTTATTAGAGGGGTCTTCTCTGATCACTCTACATAGAACAGCAATTCTCTTCCCGCATTTTCTATGCTTTTTACCCTCCTTTATTTTTCTCCATAGCACTTACCACCTGTAATGTTACATGTTTGTTTACAGCTTTTCTACCCCAAACACCATTCTATGAAGGCAAGGACAATAATTTATTCATTGCTATAATCCTAGTCCCTAAAACAGTGCTGGTGCTTAGTAGGCCCTCAGTAAATATTTGCTGGATGAGTAAATGTCTAAGGCTCTATGTTTTAGAAAACAGTGGAGTTGCATCTAACTCAGAAGTTAGGGTCTAAAGTAAGTATCTAAAAGTATGTAATTTTAAGCTATACTGCATCTGGTATATAACATTTGGTGCTATGTAGCTTAAAATTACTCTGGGACATTCCTTTAAAAAGTGTCAAGTTTGAGACTAATATATTGTCTCTCAATATGTCCAAACAACTGCCTTTCTTCCAGAATGGAAAAAATGTGGATTCTCTAGCTGAATACTAGATGAAGTATTTGGTTATTTTAGCGGCCATGTATGAAAAAAAATTTTTTAAATCCTGAAATCACATATTCTATTTTAGCAAGAGGCTAAAACTACAAGAACTTGGAAATTGAGACTGACTGAGGAAATAGCACATTCCTTTTTATCTTGCTCATTATGGGGCCTGGATTCATTTAGTAGGAAGTTTAAATGAGTTAAATCCTATTTGTTTCTCTTTTTCTTTTTTTTCTGAATGTATATAAGTTAAAAGTTGAATTCATTAAAGTTAAAAGCATGTATGATGCAGTTAAACTGCAGCACGGATCCAGATTCCTCTCTAATTCGTATTTGAGTTATTCCCGTGAATGAATGTGTGAATGTGTGTATATACGTGTATGTGTGTATGTGCATGCATGTGTGTGTGTGTGTATATGTATGTGTATGTATATATGGGTTGGAATTGATGGCAACAGGGTTTTTTTTTTCTGGTGTATATAGTTTCAAAGAAATCCTTCCATCTCTAAAAATGCCAGTAAACCTCAGCTCACAGTTCAGTTTGAGACAGTAAGAATTTTATACTAATACCGTATAACATGCAGAAATCTTCACTTTCATTAAATACTCATTAGAATTACCAGAATTATCATAGTCTAGTCATTAATTAAAAGTTGAATATGAGAGAAGCCTGGAAGTGACAACTGTCACTGGTTACCACATGAAATACCAGTGATGATTTGGCTGGTGTGGGTGGAAAATCTATAATTCATCAACTAGAAAGAGCAGAGTTAGGCCTCAATTTTAACATCTATCTACAATGCCTAAGGAACACTCAAAATCATTTTCACCATTTGCAATATTTACTTTCCTGGTAACACTGGGTGCAATAACAGCCATTACACTAAATTCATGGTGTGGTGTAGAAGTTAACAAAGTTAACATCTGACTTAAACCTAACCAAAAAAAAAAAAGCTGTCATTTACCATCATATCTTTAGAAGAGGTTATACAAAGGGGGGCTACCAAGTTTTAAAATAAGAGGAATAATTAACTTGCCCAGAACCGCTTAACATTTCTTTTCCCCTTCTCTCGGCCATCTGTTGTCCTGTACATTAGAGATTGATATTGTTTCCATATTTGAACATTCAAAGAGTATAATGACCTGGATGAGCGCCTGGGTTCACTGAAGATACAAAAGTCATCTCCTTCATCCCAAATTCTACTTGAGGCCTTTCTATTGCCACTGCCACCACCGCCGCTGCCTCCTCCGCCACCACCCCCATGAGATTTACTACTGTGACTCCTGCCTCCTCTTCCTCCTCTAGAAGATCCTTTTCCACCTCCTTTGCCTGGTTTTCCTTTTCTTCTTACTGAAGAACTCATTTTCACCTGAAACAGAAAAAAATTAATACAATTATCATAAATCCAAATAAACATAATAATCCTTTGTTTGTCAAAGTTATGGATATAGCCTACCATGAAGAAACATAATAATAATAAGGTGAATTTTCCTAAGATTGAGAATTCCATGCTCCCTCTATTTCTTTTGTTTCTACCTTATGATTTCTCTCTTGTCCTTGCCTCTTTGTTGCCTTTGCTCATGACATTCCTACAGCTAGCAATGCTCTTCCCCATTTCCACAACTTTCAGTTTACATTTTAGGTATTCTTTCAAGTCCAATAGAAATTTCCCTCTAACCCCCTGCCAAATCTTTTGATATCCTAGAAATAATCTCAGAGGGTAGGACCCAGGACATTAGTAGTATTACTACTATAAATTTGCATTAATTTATTTTTTAAACTAAAAAACTAAGAGTCGCATAGCAATAAAAATTCAAGTAGTACCAAAGTAAGTCTCACTCCAACCCAGATCGCCAGGATACAAACTTCCAGAAATAGTATATGGATGTGTGTGTGTGTGTGTGTGTGTGTGTGTGTGTGTGTGTGTATGCATCTCACTCTCACCCTCCTTTTAAACAGCAATAAGTCCATTTTATACATATTGCTCTGTACCTTGTTTCCCTCACTTAATAATACATTTATATAGTTATAGAATAATCATCCTATATTTATAAATACAGATCTACCTCATTCATTTCCCTACCATTGTGTGAATATCTTATGATTTATTTAACAGGGACTCTATTGGTGGTCATTTAAGTTGTCTTTAATCTTTAGTTCTCATAAACAATGCTGCAATGATCATCCTTACCTTTACATATATGTAGGAATATACCCTACGGAAAAGAATTCTAGAAATGAAAATTTTTAGATCCTCATCACAGGTAAAAAAAACCATTAATCATCACAGTTAATTACACATATAACATCTTCCCTCCTAGTACAGAAGGATTTAGGTATATTGAGGAACTTAGGTCTGATTCATCTTTCTTTTTTTAAATTTTAATTTTGGTGAAATTATACACAGCAGAACATACACCCATGCACCAACTTCTACATGTACAATTCAATAACACTGGCTACCGTCTTCATATTGTGTCACTATTCTCGCTCTCTCTACCCATATTGTTTCACCACCATTGACTTAGACTCGCTACTCACTAAATGTCTCATCTATGCTTTAGAGTTACAGTTGACAATTTACTCTCATATAGATAATTCTTTAAAAGAGCACAATGATCATGGTGAACATTCTTTACTAATTTAGCTAAACAGTTATTTAGT